AATTGCTATTTCATTTCTGAAAGTATTCTCAAACTGTTCCCAAATGACCACTGCTGTGACTTCTCCGTCTGAAAAAGCGGTGGCTGTACACTAAGGCTTTCTAGAATATTTGATTTCCGGACTCTGTTGAAGGGTGTGAGTCCAGTGGTTCGTCTCATTTCGCTCACTTTTATTATGGTAGTTTTCATTCATGACCTAGGTAAACATGGAAATGAAGGTAGATTTGAAGGCAGTGTGTACTGCTGTAATAAAGTATTCTATTACGTAAATAGGTAGGATAATTACATTTTGTTACATGCAAATAAGTATATAGAGTAAATGATATGAAAACACGGTTTATCATACGAAAATCTAATTTGAGTATGGTAATTTGGTCTGTGGGCTGAATGACAAGTGATAGATGGGGTCTAATCACAAAGGAGAGCTACTTAAACGATCTTCAAAATATACTCACTACCTAAACCAAAACGCTGTTTTCATCTCACTTGTTACTGTATGTTTCTATAAACGTAACGCTGAATGTTACAAGTTGGCAGTAACAAAGCGAGCTCCATCGGTAAACAAATTAAAGATCGTTGTTTCTCGGTGTTTTTTGCAACTGACCTCAAAACTAGAGTCAAAAAACAGTTGCCTACATAAAATCTAATTAGTACCTCACTGCCAGGATTTTCTTCTAAATAAACGTCAGTATTGCGGACTTTACAAGATTGTAACGAAGTGTCGGTTGTCACCAATCTCCTTTCACGCATCACCAATCTCATCCACGCAAGAAATATGACTTACAAGGTGGACCCAGTTGTTGAATGACTTCAAGTGACGTTTAGAAAGTTTTTCTATCGTGCGATTGTTAAGGTAAAATCGATCATGATTTTTAACAACGTATTGCCGATGTTGAAAAGTGCAATAATTCGACTAATCATTGTTAGCTCTAAGGTCCCGAATAATGACGCTGAGCAGTCGTAATATCGTACCTTTTCATCGGCAAAGTATAACGTTGTTGGAATTCATGATGGATTTTACCTTATCTTAGGCTTTAGATGAATTTAAGTTGATTTGTTTTGAGGACGACAGTAGTTAGAATTTTTCGACCATCCACATATCGGCTATTGGAAGGACCCAAAAAACTACAAAAACTACTGATGTTAGAGAGCTCGATGATAGGAAAGTGCCCATGTTTTTATCGCCGCTTTTATTGCAAATGGATAAACAGTAAACGATGCCCTTACCTACTTCAGTTCTTTTATTGATCAGGGATTACGTAAATTCGTGAAAGATCTCATAACCATGGATAACGTAGATGATATCCTCGATTATTTACAACCAGCGTCGCCATCAGCCACTAACGAACACATCATTTCATCCCTTACTTTTTTGCTTAGGTCGGTGTGGCAGCACGTTATCCTGAACCCAAGGATAAAGAAGCACATATCAGATCCCAAGTTTATGATTTTCACTATGAGGATTTCTCACCAGAGCTTTACGATTATCCGTGTTAAGTTTTATCGTACTTGCGTGTTTAACGCGCAAAATGTTGTGTCGTATTTCGGTGCGTGGTTTTAGACAGATCTGTTTTACCTTTGTTTTATTATTGTTTCATTTATTGTCATTCTTATAGTCAAGCTTTAATGTGTGGAAGGACA